GAAAGTCCACCAGTTGATAAGGGTAGATACCAAAGGCTGGTAAGGAAGCTAATCTACCTATCTCACACACGGACAAACATTGCTTTCTCAGTAAGTGTGGTAAGTTAATTCATGAATGACCCAACTGAGGAACACCTAATTGTCGTCTACAGAATTCCGAGGTACCTGAAAATGACTCCTGGAAAAGGGTTGTTGTTTCAGAAACAAGGGACAAGGAAGATTGAAGTGTTTACCGATGCTGCCTGGGCTGGAAGCCTCTTAGACAGAAGGTCAACTATTGGTTACTGTACTTATGTATGGGGTAACTTAGTCACCCGGAGGAGCAAGAAACAATCAGTGGTTTCGAGAAGTATTGCAGAGTCTGAGCTTAGGGCTTTAGCACAAGGAATCTGTGAAGGATTATGGTTAAGAAGATTGATGAATGAGCTCAAACTTCCATTGGAAAGCTCCATCCATATCTCATGTGACAACCGGTCTACTATCAGTATTGCTAAGAATCCTGTCCATCATGACAGGACCAAACACATTGAGATAGATAGAAGATTCTTATTAGAGAAGATTGCAGCAAAGGATATCCAGCTTAGCTATGTTCCTACCAGGCAGCAAATAGCTGATATACTCACCAAGACACTTCCTAGAATTCAGTTTGAAGACTTATCTAGCAAGATGTGCATGGATGATATCCATCACCCAACTTGAGGGGGAGTGTAGATTATTATAGATGGTTTTAATCACTCATTCGATTGTGCATTTATGAGGAATATCCTAGAGATCTCAGAATCTCTAAATATCCCCAATTATCTTTTCTTTATTAGGGAACCTTAATTAGGAGGATTCCTTCCTTATTTCATTTTTTTCTAGCTATTTATATCATGTATTCTTCTCCTTGTAACATACAGAACATAATAAATAGAATACAGTTTACTTTCTCGAGTTATTTCTAAAATCCTAAAAGGTCAACTTGATAGGAGGAGTAGCCCATGTCTTAATATAGCACTTTGTTGATTCAAACTTTTCCGGTGTGTGATTCTTACATAAAAACTTGCGGGTGCACTTGAGGAGAAAATAGTATGGACGCACGTTGCTCACCGCCTTACAAAAGAACAAACGCACTCTATCACACTCCGTCCTCAAGCTCCGGCACGGCCAATATTCCTCATTCCTTTTCCGTGTTCTCAAGCTCCTGCACGGCCAAGGCAGCCCAGCGTATGTATTCCTTTTCCATATTCTTATCCAAACCCCTTTTCTCTCCCTCAGGCCGCATATACGTCTGTCTTCTCTTCCATCCCTCTTCCTATTCTTTGGTTTCCTCTTTCTCAAATCAGGGTTGCCTCCTAGTTGATCGAAGAAATGAGTAGACATTTTTTGATGTTGTACTTATTTAATCTATACCTTGAAGATTAATTTTCCCCATATAAAAATACTAGACAAGAGTTTTTTAAGTTACTGTATTAGTTTTAGTTGCTAAACGGCTGAAACCAAATTAAAGTTGAATAAAACATAAGAGAGAGTCAGCACCACGAAGGATTGTGAGGCTCCTAAAGAAATGGGCTGTTGTTCAAAGACCACGCAGCAGGACGCTCACTGCTGTCCATGAGGACATATTGGAGGATGTTGTGTTCCCTGCTGAAATTGTTGGCAAGCGTGTGAGATATCGAATTGATGGATTCAAGATAATGAAGGTCCTCTTGGACCCGAAGCTGAAGAATGACATGGAATACAAGCTGGAAACATTTTCTGCTGAATACTGAAAGCTTTCAGGCAAAGATGTTGTCTTTGAGTACCACATTGCTGAGGCTTAGATCTGTTTTACCATATTTTTGGCACTGTTAGTTGTTACTGATGTGCAGTGGCGGAACCAGGACACATGACTCGCAGGGGCACAATTAACAAAGAAATGATATAGTAGTCTAGAAAAAAAATCATAGGCATCACGAATATAGCAATAAACAAAACTATAAAATTAAAATAAAACAACTACTTAAAGAGTACCTTAATTTTGATTAGACCCTGACGCGGCAAATGAAGGACAATCATTGAGAGGCGGCAATCTTTGTCTTCGAGGTGCCATACTCTGAAATCGCCTCATTATGACTTCATTCTCAATTTTAACAAATACATCTTTCTCAAAGTAACACACCAAGCAATTTGTCAAGTATTCTTCTCCAATCTTGTTGCGCAAATCATTCTTGATAAACTTCATCGTCGAGAAAGATCTTTCAACTGTGGCGGTTGTAACGGGTAAAACCAATGCCAATTGGATGAGTCGGTATACTAACTTATAAGTTGTGTGCCACTCTGTTTCAACCAATGTTTTTGCCAAATCTCCAATACTTTGTAGGCCTGAAAATCGTGGAGATGATTTGACAAATGTAATGAACATCCTAAGTTGTTCATTTAGTTCAAATTTTTCTCTTGAACTAAAATCATCTGGGTCTAGATTAGCAAGACGAAGTAGTCGCTTCACATCAAAATTGGAGAATGAGTCTTTGGGACCTAACATTATATTAAAAAACGTAATTAATTACAATAACAAAATAAATAAATTTAAATACAATTACGTAAGGAATAAAACTTTTAAAAGTACCTCGAGAAAAATGTCAACATGAAAATAGTGATAATAAGTTTTCGGACTACCATCAATTGTCTTCTGCCTTTTCACTCGTCCTGGCTTTACATCCATCATATTAGGTACATCAATATCATGCTTTGAACAAAATGTAGCCACTTCTTCAATCAACAAATCCCAACCATAATCATTCCTATATTTCTCCAAATCGGTTTTAACGGTCTTGACAAGATCCACAACATTGCCTATGTTTTGATTTTTTTTGTTGCAATTCCTTTGATAGCACATTAGTTTTTCCCAATAATTGCAACATGAAATGCGCAATGAACACAAAATCATAGGATGCCATTTTTTCAATCAAACTAGAAGAAGTGGACTTACTTTTGAGATCAACACCATCATCAAATATAGCTTCAAGCACCTCAATGACCGCATCCCACATATCAACAACTCTAATGATTGTTTTATAATGGGAACCCCAACGAGTATCACCCGGTCGTGCTAGACTTTTTTCTTGATTTTTCCCCTTCCCCGTGCTAACCTCACCACGTTCTATACGGACTACAAGATCCTCATAATGATTTTGTAAAAGATCATCTTTTCTCTTACATGATGCACCAACCACATTTACAATCATGATGAGATGATCAAAAAAACTACCAACTATTCCATTGCTCTTCAAAGAGGACACAATCACTAAAAAATAATGGAAATAATCTAATAAAATTTACCAGAATGCGTAGCTGATTCATCATGACCTCGAAAAGCTAAACCACCCTCTAAATTGAATCGAACTACATCAACAATAGTTGTTAATCTTGCACGGTACTCAAGCTCATCTTTTATGGTTTGTTGTGAATATACATAATCCACATTTTGCTTTTGGTTTTGAAACCCGGACCATTTAATTTTTGCATAATGATGCATGCTTTCTAGACTTCCTTCGTGGTCACGGAATTTTTCCTTAGCTTTCTTCCAGTTATTAAACCCAACTTCAGTAAAAGCATCATCTCCATTTTTATGATGTCTACCAAACAAATAACACAAATGGCAAAATGCTACATCTTTAGCAACACTATACTCCAACCAATTAAATTCATCAAACTACTGTTTTTGGAATGATCTGTTGCGCCCATTAAAATCATCACTTTGTGGAAATTTAAAGTCACGCGGTTGGCAAGGACCTTTTGTCAAATAACGTCTCCTCAACTCATCTCTAATATTAACATCATAAGTCTCAATCGGCTTACGCAATCCAGGATCACCAACAATGTCATCATCCGACAATTCAATCTCTATTCGAGCTTTTTTAACATTAGTCTCATTGTTAGGAATGACATTTTCCGATGAAGAAATTAAATTATTCGATGAAGAACCACCAATGATAGGCTGTTTCGGTTTCGGCGGAATTGCCGAAAAATATCGTAACATAGCCATTGTTTGTAACACAACCCAGACCAACTACACTTGAAATTTGAAATAATATGAGTATAATTTTTCAAAATTGAACTATTCAAGTATTCAACATTTAAACCATAAGTGATAAGTCACACAACATATACGAATCAATGATTCAATGAAGCATAAATCATTCATGATTCATCCACTACACAACAAATCAACAATTAAAAAAAATTAAAACATACCTTCAGCCTTCGGGCTTCGGCAATCGGCACTAGCCGCACTGCGTGACTCACGGGCGGACCGGGCGGTGGAATTCCTGGCGTGGCCGCGTGGCGGACTGGCGGCGTGGGCGGTGGGCCGGCCGCACTGCGCGAGTGCGTGGATGGAGGAAGTTTCTGGCGTAGGCCGCGTGGCCGCGTGACCGCCGGTGGGCGCAACCTGAGTCGCCGGGTCGGGAAAGGCCAAAAGGGGGGATTGGCCGATTGGGGGAAGCGGGGAAGTGGGAAGACTGGGAACTGCTGAACGATTTGGGAAAGGGGGGAACGGGAATGGGAAAGGGTCGGGGAACGGGAAAAGGGGGATTTGGGCCGCAGGAAAAGGGGAAGGGGAATTGGGATTGGGCTTGGGCTGCAGCCTGCAGGGGCCCAAGTTAAAAAATATATATATATATTAAAAAAAAATTCACTGGGGAGGCCCGGGCACCCCCCAGCCCTAGGGTGGGTCCGCCCCTGCTGATGTGGACTGGATGCTACAAAGTTCTTTTAACAATATTGGAGTTTGTAGTTTTTTTGTTTAGAAAGGAAGGCTGCATCGGATTAAAATGTCATCTACATTAAGGTGTTTCTTTGTCCAAAGATTTTCATTAAGAGAGAGAGAGAGAGAGAGTCAGCGCCCGTGGCCTACTTTGAATTAGGGGTGGGAAATTCGGGTTACGATCTGGTTTCCTTGAGTTTAGATTTCATTTTGGTTTATTCGGTTTTGGGAGATATTATATCCATGTGAATGCACTTATAGCATAGGCATGTTCCGTTTTGTTATCAAAAGATTTACTTGAGTGAAACCTAATCAATGTACCAATTTTCGGTTTGGTTGATTCAATTAAAGCAAACTGTTTTGCCTGGCCTACACAATATCAACTGAAATGCATGTTCCCTTTAGAGCGTGGAATCTTTTATTTAAGGAATGCACTTTCAAAAAATTTTCAAACGCTCGAATCATGAAGAAAAATAGGGTGCTTGCATAATCCCTTTCGGTCTGGATCCTTTTAATATCATGTATACTCGATCCGTATATAATCTATTTTTTGTACTTATTTATTAAAGTATTTAAAAAAATAGACTTCCTTTATTTTTTCATAATCTTCAGATGATGCTTGAATCAACTCTCTCGTGGATGTTCCCTTCTCATATGAACGATGATGTCTCCTCGGAGGATGTCGGTGATGTGCTCCACCGACGTTAGACCAAGGAATCTTTGGTACGTAGTATCTAAAACCATCTACATTTCTAATTCAAATGACGAAAATTATCGTATTATTATTAGGTTTAAGACACATATGAATGAAACCAAATCTGATCCTAACAATTTTAGGCCTTTAGTCGAAAATTAATTTAACGGTCTCTTATTGTATAGACATAATGTCACGAGTAACGGTTTCAGTAGAGCTGGGAAAATAACCAATAAAACCAACAACAACAACAACCAAATCTTATTAGTCCTCATTGATTATCACAAATTAAAAGAAATCAATTATTCAGTTATTCGGTTAGTGGTTTCTTATTTAATCCATTACCGGTCGATTAATCGAAAACAAAAGTATAGTTTACTCCATTTAAAAGTTTGTATGTACTCCATGTATGATATGATGTTTCACTTAATAAAATATTAGAATTACTCTATGAAATAATATTAGATATATGAGCTATATGAATATAATTGATACAAATGAGACTTTATATACTCTAGTAACTATAATAGGGATTTTAATGAGTATGGTTGTGCTCAAATTTGTATTATAGTGATCATGATGGTATATTAATAATAACTTTGGTTACATTTTCATTTATATGTAAGGAAAGCTTTCAAATTTCAATCATGTATTTATTATGTAGTGGTTGGCCCAAAAGGGATAAAATGACACTCATGCAATACACAATTATCAATAGCATAACAAAATCAATTTTATAATGTTGTAATATTTGTTTGTGTAGGCACATGCATTCCGCATTCTATTTATGCCACCATGACTGCACAAGCACAGATCTTAGCCGCCCGAGCAAATAGACAAGCGCCTCCAGACCTATCATTCGAGCATCTTTTGGATATATATTATGATCTAGACCGACCAAAGAGGACATCATTTCATGTGTTGCACTATATCCACTACCACGGTATAGTAGCAACACAAGATTACATCAACCATGCTTTTCATCGAGGGGTATAAGTTTTCTCATTTATTATTAGTGTTGTTATTTACTTAGTATATTATTTTATTAATATCAGTTGATTATAAATGTTTTTCTATTAGGTTAGAAAGTATTATGTGGACTTTAAGAGGGGATTTGAAGGTGCTGTTGATGGGTTTATCCCAACCATAGAAGGAAATCTTACAGTCACACCTTTGGTCGCTGAATTTCCAATCATGGAAGGTGATGAAGAAATTGGACACGCATTGTGTCTCACTGGCTATGGAAACCGAATTGAGGAAGATGAACAAGAGTGGGGGTATGGGAGTTCTTAAACTCCCATGGTCTGGAGGTTGGAGATCATGGGTATGAGAGGATCGCCAAGGATGGATTGCTCTTTGTGTATGCAACGACAATTCGCCAATGATGGTAGTCAATTGCACACCCAGAAAACTAGAGTCATTGAGCCTCTATCTTAACATATTTATAATTTATAAAATGTTAGAACTCTTTCATTTGTGTTCGCATTTTCACAAAAAATATCGAATAATGAAAATTCATATGACACTAATATTATATATGTACAATTTTGAATTTTTTTTTTTTTTTTTTTTGGTATTGTCTACTTAAGCCTGATTCACTTAACGTCTCATAGGTGTATATTTTACTATTGTCTAAACCTGATCTCGATTAACCTAATCTGTTAAAGTCTAAACTGATTTGATCTACTTTATTTATGTTTTCTTTGGCTATTCACTGAAATCAATCTAATTAAAAATATTCTAAACGCTTTCTACATTTGTATAGGTATGAATATGTGGGCTTAATGCGAAATCAACATTGTGTCAAAGAAAAATAAAAGTTGAAAACAATTAGTTTACTAGCACTATATTAGAGATTTACTTATTCAGATAAATAACCAAATCTGAAAAGTCACACAAAGTAAAAAAAAACTTTAATATTTTATATTATATAAGCTATAAATGTATCAACCAATAAAATTGACATAACTTTTTCTGTATTGTTTAAACTGTTCAATTCGATGAAAAAGTATAAACTAATTTTATAATTTATAGAAAAAAATAAATTTAATTGAGGCTAGTTAATTTTTGGTGTGTAGGGGCTGAGGATTGGTGGCTTGGGGCAAGGGTTTTGGTGTTGGGTCTAGGGAATAGGGGGTTGAGGGTAGGGTAGGTTGACGGGGCAAAGGGTTGGGGTAATTTGGTTAGGAAAGGGGAGGGAGAGGGCTGGTGGGGGCAGGGTAGAGGGCAATGTGGAAGGCGATGAATTACCCGAACAAAATAGGACAATAATGTGCGCGACGTTGAGTCTAGGGATGGACTCGGGTCGGGTCAACCGACACGACCCGGTACTGTTTCGGCCCGGCCCAGTAGCACGTGGGGTGGCGGTGGGGCTACAAATTGTTGTGCAGCGACGGGGCGGGAAGGTCCCGCCTGCTGTGCTAGAGGCACAACATTCAGAGGTGCACTAGTAGCAACCTGGCGTATCGGGGGGGGGGGGGGGGGGGGGGGGGGGGAGTTAGTCCCCGGAGTAGCCCATTGGCGTGGGGGAGACTGGTAGACCTCCCCTAGATATGGTATTTGTGTTTTAAAGTCCATTTTCTTTCTCTTGTACATCTCCTTAATATATTTTCTTTATGCATGAAGAATATTACACAAAGGCCTACATATGTATCTCTAAATACACTAACGAAACAATACAATATAATGGTTACAATAATTTTCCAAATTTCATTAAGTAATGGTTTAGATCATTAGGAGAAGTTGAGGGTGTGTTTACTAATAGAGATATTTTCCAGTTTTCTATTTCTGTTTTTCGTTCTCCAATAGTTTGTTTTCATTTTCTGGTTTTTCTATCTCCAATTTTTTGTTTTCTTTTTTAGTTTTCTATTTTCAAATCTGAAAACATGTTCATACAATTTTTTCACCCGATTCTGTGACCGACCAAAAGACTAAAAGTACAATCCCAGTCCGGAACCGAACCTAGTACAACCCAAGTAGGATACTGGGTCCCATGTATAGGAAAGTCGATACTGAAACCGGCCGGTCCCGGTCGATCTCAACAGTAAGTTTGATGAATTATTTTCCCATTTCTCTATTGATTGACAACTCATTGGCTCTTCTAAAACTCTTCACTTTAAAAAATGATTTTGAAAAACCGAGACTGAACCGTCGGATCATTGACCGTCCAAGAAAAGGACCGCCGGGTCATCTACGTGCTGGCCCGGGACCGCCCAGTTGTCGATCGGACCAAACACTGATCGTCGGGTCATTTGCCAGACAGGGTGGGGAATGTCGGGTCATTGACCGGACATGACGGGATCTGCCGGGTGGTTAATCGGACAGGATGGCGAGCGTCGGGTCCTTGACCGGATAGGATGGGGAATGTCGGGTCATTGACCGGATCGGATGGGGACTTCTGACTCGTTGACCAGATCGGATCAGACTGGGACTCCTCGACCGTCGATCGAACCGAACAAGTACCGCTTGGTCGTGTATCTGACCAAACATGGACCATCGGGTCATCGACCGTACCTGACAGGGACCGCCGAATCGTCGTCTGCATCGGACAGGGGCCGTCAGGTCATGGAACGAACCAGATAGAGACCGCCGGTTCAAGGATTAGACCAGCCAGGGATGTCAGATCATCGACCGGAGCTGGACTGTCAGGTCGTCAACCAGACTAGACCGAGATTGCTCGGTCGTCGACTGTACTGATCATGGACCACTGGTTTAAAGACCGGACTGGTGTAACACCCCTAAATTTCCCGCCCAAAACATTGATATATTTAAAAGAAGTACTTTATTCATTCATCAAAGAGTTAAAGAAATACAGCGGAAGTCTAAAATAGGGAAATGGGTGTTACCGCCACATTCGGTCATCTCTTAACCGAATGCACAGGCAACTCAAAGTAAAACAATAAAAACTAAGGTAATAATAAGTAAATGTTTATTTCAGACTAGATTTAACTAAGGCATCTTCTAATTCGCACTCAAGCTCGAGTAATCCATCAATCCACATAGACATCCAACTCATCACCTGATAAAATTTAAGGGAGAAGAGAGAGACAAGAGAAATAACAAAAATTAGCTTTAGAGCTAAGTAAGTACTACCCAACCCCGTAAAATAATCAGGATTGACAAAAATAGATTTTTATATAATATCATATAAAAATGACGCACTCCACCAAAATACTTTTCTCTTTGATTTTTCTTAAAATTACTTCTTTACTAAAATCCTCAACTTCTCTTCGAAAATCTCTTAGTATCTTTCTCTTTAAACTTCTTAAGAAAATCACTTCTTCTCTAACTTCCTAGTAATTTAGAAGGGCGATACTCAACCTTTCGACTGAGCCCGGTGGACCGTGGTTACGGACGGCCACCCCGAACAAGGGCCGGTACCACAACTGCTCTTGCGGAAACGAAACAACTACCTTAAGTGTGCACACCCCCTAAAAGGGATTCCAAGCCCTCCGAGTAGTAAGTCATCCCGAGTGGTCGGAACCCAACCACCCCATCTCTAAAATTCTTGAATGATTAGGGACTACTACTATAACTTCTTCTTAAAAGGGATCATAGATCCAAATCTCACTTAAAAGGGATCATAGATCCAAATCTCACTTGAAACTTAAACTGTACTTCTTAGTAGTAGTAGCTCTAATCACCCTCCACATTTATCCGGATGTGGAAAAACCGACACCTCGGATTACTCCCAAGATGCTCACTTCTTATAAAAATGTAAATTTTATCTTCAATTAAATAATACTTCAAAAATACTTCTCAATCTCTCTAAATAATCTCAAAGGTATTTAAAAATATTTAATACCCCAAAAGTACTCTTAATTTATATTTATCAACTACCATATACTATCGTATATAATATCTCCTCAAAATCACATACACAAAATTCACAATTCACACTTAATCACATAATGCATAATAAGCATATAATACGAGGAAACAATTTTGGATTGACAGAGAAACTTACCTTAAGTTCTGATGCTCCTAACTCTCTTCCTCAATTCCAGTCTCTAAATATTCACCTTTTTAATTAAGATGATATAATTAGTCACTTATTTTATTTGTAATTATTTTACCCGATTTTTCTCCTTTTTTATTCTTTTATTCGAATTTATTAATAGTATTAATTAATAATTCGAATATATTTTATTAATCACCTTTTTAATTCAGCCATTTACTTAAACTATCCAAATTCACCATTAATTTACTCTACCTATAAAACACCCAATTAATTTACTATATTTTACTATTGTTAAGAACTTAAGATATACAGATTATGAACATATTCAATTTACTTCAATTATAGCTTATTACAAATATATTCGTTTATCAGTTTTTTTATTAATTAAACCATCAATTCCCTTATTATTATGTATTTATGTTAAATAACAATTAACAAATTTATCCAAGTGATAACTATCAATTAATCAAGCCAATTTCACCATTAATATTTCTTAACTCAAATTTATCTATTTTGCAGATTATTATTATTATTGTTATTATTATTATTATTATTATTATTATTATTATTATTTAGCCCAACTATTAACATCCGAGTAGTCCAAAGAGTCTTAATTCAGTCCAAAGGTAAATCCACTTAACGTATCCAAGAAAAGAAAGGCGTACTGGGTGTCATCTTCTTCGTCGTCCGTAGCAATGAGCAGCGTAGTACACCTCTCGTCGACGAACGGTGCTTCAACGGTGGTCCTTCCTTCTGGTGGCGATGGCGGCGCGGCCAGAGGATCCCTCACTCAACGAAGGTGGCGTCGCTCAACAGCAATGGCTTCCTCCGGTGCGAACCAGTCCGGCGGCGATTCCGCTTCTCCTCCAGTGACGAACAACAGGCTCCATTCTAAGATATGACAGCACCGATGGCCTCCTTCGTTTCATGTGTACGATGGTGGGATTCTTCTTCTCCGGCGATTCCCGTATCGGCCCACTAGCCTCCTCCGACGTAAAATCAGTCCGGCAACTATGCGGCGACGATGATCTTCCTCTCCTCCGCTCGTGCAGATTCAGGCGTTGGATCTTTTGGGTTTTTTTTTTTATTTCCAGCGTTGGATGAAGCTTATGGAACTTGGCCGTCCTTTGCACGAAGATCGATGGTTTAAGTACGGATGATGAACGCGGCGCTGGTTGGTTTTCCGCAGGTAGAGTTAGACGGTGTATATATGCTCAGTCCAGACTCTACGTTACATACGTTGGTTAAATTAAGGATCCAATTTTCGCTGGTTGAATTAGATCAATTCTACTCCTATGTAGTGTTGGGTTTAACTATGGACTCTTAACTTAAATGCAACTACGGCCACATACAAAGTCCTAGTTGCACTTTGTGCAATTCTTGTATGCAACGTAATATAGTAGTGTGTATTCATAATATTACTCCTTCCGTTTGTATCCCACGTAAGTAGTACTTAACTTAAGTTTGACTCCTAATTTTTAGCTTGTAATCTATTATTGTTATTAAATTTTAAAAGTATAATAATAGCATTTAGGAAAAATCAAGTTGTATTTGTAAATC